CCTGCTCCTTTTTTATGTATCAAAGAAAATGTATTTTTCTCCAGGTGTGGGGTATTTCACTTTGCATGTAATGTGATAGGAGACTAACATAAAACACCTGAGCTCAAGATGAAAAGCAGCATATGATGTAATGCAGTGCATTTTCTGATTGGTTATGGTAATACTTCATTTAGCCACAATAACCTTAAGCTCAGCCGCCTCAAATTAAGTAAAATCCCTTAAAACAGATGTGGTTCCAGAAAGGTGACCCCAAACCTGGCTCTCAAATGCAGAGGTGTAGCTTCATGCAGTGAAAGCATCAGTGTGTTGTTGTATTTTACAATATGCCATAAATAAATAAATTATAGAGGTGGTGAGAATAACAAGCATCTGACATGTTTAGCGTGACAGTTCTGCCGGTTCGTGTTTAAGTGGCAGTGGGAGCTTTACGGTGCTAAGGTCTCTCTCCTCCTGTTAAGCACATATCCTGTATACTTTGTCCCTTGGCAGTGACTTGATCCAGCAGGAGGAAGCAACCAATCAGGAAGATATTAGATAAGCTCCAGGAAAAATTAATACATTTCTCTCAAGTCTGCCTCACCTACTGTACTGAACCATGAGATGTATACATAAGACTAAAGGTGTGCACTTTATATGGTTTCATCATAGTTACTCCATTAAACTCCCCCCTGTCCAGGTTCAAATGATCTGGACATCATGATACTCTCATGAAGGTTGTTGTGTTTCTTACAGCCAATGTCCAGACAAGGGTGGTCTGTGCAACCGGATCCTTTGACATTACAGAGAACATGAAAACATGAAACATAGTTATTGATCACAGAGTCCACACTAATCAAATCGCACCCTGGTTTGTTTGAAGTTAAAAATGGTTACAGTGGGTGTTTACCGTTGCACTTCAGGACCCTCTAGCCTCACCCCTCTTAAACATACACAGACAGAAGTGTTATTTGTATTGTTAAATTTACATTAAGTCCATTTTAATTGCATCAACCCATTAAATAGATCTTACAATAATGGGCCTGACAGAGAAAATTGCAATCATCTGTGAAGAGCCTGTGGTGGTATAATGGACAAACCTGATTAATTTAATCTTGTTGCACTCCATTATGGCTGCACTTTATCATCTCAACAGATGGAGCACCAAGAAATTAAAAAACGCTCTCAAGGATATGTGGCACTCTCCATTCACTCGCATCCCTTTATCTGAAGGTGTGTGGGCTGCTGTGCTGAAATGAAGGCTTGGACTGGAACCTTTGGATGAGTGCATTTTCAAACCTAAATGAGATTATGTGAACAGTCAATTGATGCAACAAATCATCAGGATTGTCTTGTGATGTATTGCTGAAGGCTGTTAAGGACTGTCCGTCCAATCATCTAGACCGATGAGCTGACATTATCACAGGAGTAGAATGACAATTGCCTTACTATATGAAGACTATTCACATAAGCAAGAAGGTTGCATTCATTCAGCTGCTATCTACAGCCATATTCACACAGACACCGTATCCTGTTGTGTGCTCCAAAGCTTCTTTTTTTTTTGTTCCTCCATGCACTCTGGAAGTAGACAAAGCTGAAAAAGGAATCCCTGCACTAATAGTTAATTAATATAATAATTAAAGATCAGCTGTTCTTGATAGAGGCAACATCTCCAAATCATAGGTTGCATGTCTATATGTTGTAAGCAGTTCAATTGAAGAGTCATTTTCTCTTCAAATAAAGAAGTGTCTGAGAAATAAACATGATAACTTTCATCAGTATTTATTTTAGATTTCATTTCCTACCTGGGAAATTATGTCATGATTCTGGCAAACACTGGGTTGAACGCCTGATGTTTTGATAGATTTACGCTGGACTAAATATTTAAAAAGAAGCTCCCACTCACACTGAAAATAATAACAATCTCATAGTTCATATCCAGTGAGAGAGGAACAGATGTAGGCTGCTGTACATATAATAATCATAATAAGGCGGTGCACAGCTAGGCCATTTTTAATATCTGAGAATTGTCAAAGACTTGTGAAAATTATACTAAGTCATGTACATAATAAAAACGGTACAATTTCCTAGATCAATTTACAGTTTTTCTCATTAGGTGCACTTAAAATATCAGCAAATTATGTGACAATAACAAGTCAAAACGACGTTGTTTGCAGCAAATGAACCGTAACACTGGGTGTAAACACCCCCATGCCTACATTTGAGACCAGTGAGCAGCGCGCGCGCAGACCACGTGGGTCCATTATGTCAATTCAAGCGTCCGGCCACGCTGACATGACTGCTTGTGGCGTTTGTGTCTTACAATAGTTAACGTTTTTACGTGTTTTCCCACTCACGTTTCGGTCTTTCAGGGGCACGTTTCCTAGCCAGGGGAGAAAGAAACAGTCTGTGACCGGTCAGAAGAAGTAAAATAGGTGTTTATGGACAGAGAGACTTGTTGCATGTTGTGACAGCAGAGATACACACATTAAGGTAGGCTGCTCTGAGAGGACCTTGCTTTGTTGACATTTCTGTTACCTTTCTGTCAGTCGTTTCTTCACAGTTAACAAGTGTTATTTTAACTTGTGTGCTGAATTTACAGCGTGGTGTTAACCCAATATGGGCGGGGACAGAAGCTGCTACTGTGAGTGGGACAGCCACAGTTTAACAAACCAGAACTGCGGCACAATTTGTGACATTGCGCAGTGACAAATTAAATATCGTTAATTTTAGGATTACTTATATATAAATAACTAACGTAACTAAAACTCTGCATTTGAGTTGTCTATATCTACTATATCTAGTGCAGTTTTTGCAGAAGACTCATTAGTATTGTAAAGATTTGTTTGTTTATTTTTGCAGTGGTAATAGAATCGACAGTTTTTAAACAATACATTTTGTTAATTAGCCGTATACAGTCCTGGTAATTTGCTGGGTAATTTTGAGCATTACTTTACAATAATTGATATTGGTCTCAAAAAGTAATCACTGTTTCAAAATAATGACATAGATTTTATGCTGCATAATAGACCATTTTCCACAGCAGCTATGTTGACATGAATGAACAGGTAATCACAAGTCTTACTAATGATATTAATTCAGGCTTTGTGCTATTCAGGTAGTGCCTGAGTTAATGCCATTAATAAAACCTGTGTTTACCTGCACTTTCATGTCAGCATGGCTGCTGTGAAAAAGGTCTGTAATTTGTTTTAATTTAAAAAGAAGGAAAAAAGTCTCTTTGTACCAGAGTAGACCATTTGCATTGCATTGTACAATACTTGTCAGTGTGTTGGCTGACATTTTCCTTGAATTGCATATAAGAATGATATGCTTTCAGTCCTAGAATTAATGTGATGCAGATAAAGTTGAATGCACATTTATCAAAATACAATTTGCCTTAGGTTAATAGCAGCTGAACCAGAGATGTTCTCTGCCCCAAGCTGCAGTCATTTTTTTTTTTTGTCTTAATATTTTTAACTGTACACCACATTTGACAGTGAACAGTTTTTTGTCTTCTCAGGTAGTGTACTGTATGTTGGGTTGACTTGAGCACACATGGTGTTGAAATCACCTTGGAAAGATTATGTTCCCCTATCCTGTTCCCACTGCAGTATGATGCAATTTGTCTTCATTTTCCTCCGACTTTGACTCGTTTTCATGATATATTGTTGAAGCACATCATAAAGACAAAAGTGTGACTTGTGTCAGAGTTATGCCATCAATTTATAGGCTAGGTCTAGTCTAGCAGTACTGAATAAGCATCTCTCTGGATTAGCTATGCAAGTTCCTGACTGGTTGTTTTTTCTTTGTCTCATAGAACAAAGTTGTTTAATATCAGTCCTTCAGTGCCAAGTTGCAATACTTACTTACTGCATGAATAGTGGTTGCATAAATCTGGTGTTGCAGCTACAGTGGTAGCAAAGTGTAACGCGGCACACGCATGATGTTCGCTTTGTCTGTCTTATCCCATCTGCATCTTCTTTAATCTTCTCTCAGACATTAGTCATACCAGACTTCTGTACCCAGAAGCCAGTATTAGGTTTACGGTCTTGATGTTTGTAATCAGCCAGTTTTTCATTTTGTATTGTTTGTTATATTTTGTATTTAGTATTGTTTGTTATATTTTATCCTTGATATTACTTTTCTAAAACATTTTCTTGATGGTTTGTTCTATAAAATATCAGAACATAAGGAACAGTCACAACCGGTTCTCATCTCAGTCCCCTGTCATCTCATCGATAAGTACAATGCACCCCTTATTTCTCATATTTCTACTGATGCTATTTCTCCAAGGCAATCCTGGACAGTGATGTTTGGCATTATTCTTTAAGCAGAAAATGCCAAATTATCCCAAGTTTCATCCTTTTAAAGGATTTGCAGCTTGTCTTTTTTTGGCGTCTGTGTATTGATGCACTGGGTTTTCTAATGTCAAGCCATTTGTGGCAGTGTTAGACACTTTGCACTTTAAACCTCCCATCGGAGAGCTGAGGCATGGTTTTCTGCCCAGATAAGATATTCAGTGGTATGCTTTTTTCTATAACTACAAATTCCAAATAGAGGGTGTCTGATAATTTAACTACTGTATATGATTGATTTATGTAATGGTCATCATTTTAAACTGTGCACCACCTTTACAGATATTAACCTTGGTAAATTGTGTATTTACTTTTGATTGACAAATGTAGTTTTCATGATTTTATCTGAACTCTGCTCATTTGCCATCTGCAAAGTTGGACCAGCGAGCAGACATGACTGCATGAAGATATTTGATATAAAGAAAAACACATGTAATTAGCAGGTATTTCTAGTGTGAAATCCTTGGCTGTATGACGTCTGTGATATACAGACATCTGCTGACACTTCCCGGTGAAGAAACCTTTGCTTGGTTTTCAGCCAGTGAAACGCCTCCTTAGCTGGACTGAGGTCACTCGTCAACAGTCCACTGCAACAGTAGGTGATTTAAAAAAAAACAAAAAAAACTCCCTGTTTGTGGTCTAACTGCATAAAATTGGTTCCTATATAGAATCAGCACTGTAAATTCACTCACAGATTTGATTTCAAGTCCAGTGTGTTACATTATAGAGCAAAACAACAAAAAAAAGTGACCAACCAACTACTCTCACCTGGCTGCTCCCAGTTATTAAATGCCTGACAAACAAGACAGTTTTCATACAGTATGTGTTATTTACATAGCCTATCCTCTATATACACATACAGTATACACTGCTGTAACTACAGACATCTGAGAATGGTGATACCATAGTAAAAATGAATACATGAAATTTAACTATACAGTGGGGATAAAGTACTTCCGGATGGCAGGTCCTCCCACTGAATCTTTTTATTTTGGCAGAAAAGCTGCCAGTTCTCAGACGTCCAATGGGAATGTAAAAGCTTCAAGTGCCCAGAATTGTTGTAGGTCAGTGCCATTAGCCAATGGACAACTAAAACAGTTGCTCTGAGTGTCTGATATTGCAATGAATTGGAGTCAGTCGAAGACCCTGCACATCAGTATACAGATGCCAAAGAAAGAAAAGCAGCAAATCCTCACATTTGAAAAGGTGAAACTGGGGAATGTTTGCTATTGATAACAGTCTAATACTCCTCTAATACTTGCCCCATTTTGTGATTGAAATATTCATTTTATGACAGATAGGAGACAGTCAAAAGAAAATGACACATTTATTGTGATTTACTGTTACATCGTCATGCTTTTTCTTAAGGTAAACTCACATCCTCTGCATGATTTGTTTTGTGGACATTATTGACATTGTGGATAATCCTTTTGTTTTGACCTGCTTTCTTTTTGCTGCCTTTTGAATTTTCAGTCAGTGACGTGAGTTGGAACAGCTCTGACCTAAAGATTTGAGTCGGTAGCTCAGGAGGAATAATTCAGTGCAGCAAGAAGCAGAAAAACAAATTCATTCACACACGTACCAGATTCCCTACTGTACTGTACATGTGCTTCACTTCAGAGGAAACTTCTCAGTTTGTTCTTCTTACTTTTGAAGATACATGCTCCTCCAATTACTGGGGCCATGCCGCCTCCCCTATGGTGTCTTTGGACAGCTCCTTTAGTGCCTGAAAATGTTGCAGACCATTAGTTCTGGATTGTCTACACCTGTTTGCGTAATTTTCCCTTTTCAACCATTTTCCTCCCACATTTTCATATTTGTCTTTTTTTTTCTTGTATAAATAAATGTTTGGGTCTTCAAGAGATTTCAGGTTTATATATTTTTTCCCCCAAACAACTGGCAGCTGTAAAATCTTTACATAAGCCTGTTTTATTGTATCTAGTCTGCCACCTATGTACTGTATGTTTTACAGCTTTTGTGCTAATGTTGCCTGCTGAAACTCTTCACCTGTCAGTAGATAGGATTACAGATGCTAAACTTATCAGAAAAAAAAAAAAAATATATATATATATATCATCTTAAACACAGCAGAGCAGCCAGCAAACAGAAAATTTATTTTGTGGGGAAAAAAATGGTGTGTTTTAGTTAACCCTATGTATTTTTTAGGTTTTTCAGTTAGACTAATTTGCTGTCAGGCAGGAGGTTGTTTTTGCAACTCAGGCAGACTCCAGAAATTAATTTATCCAAATAACCAAGTCCTCCTGGGCCATGAAGGTTAGGACACTGAAATGGCCCTGGTAGGCAAAGCCATCTTTTGAAGTCTGGAATGTTTTGGCTGACTTAGAGCAGGCGACTGGAGTGGAGGGATCATTTTCACTGACCCATGGGATTTTTAACCGTTTTCATATACTGAGAACAAAACAAAGTGAGGAAAAATGCCTGAGTTCATTTGCATTGACTTTGCTCTCTATAAAAAAAAAAAGAGTAAAATTAAAATGAAACTGATGCAGGGTAGTTTTCTCTTTTGCCAATTTATGGACTATGATGGTGATGCTGTATAATCCTTTTCTGCTTGCAAAATGTGACAGCAGTGATCTACATCAAGAGACTGACAATAGGTCATACTGTAAAGATTTCCATAAGCCTTTTCAAATTGCTGATTTTTTTTTTCTTTGTCTTATCTTACAGAATCCAGCCATATAATAAAATGTCCTTTATTAATGGACTAATTAGGTCCTAATTAGGTGGTCATTTGGACTGCATGCAAAGTAAATACAAGGCTAGTAATACGAACATTGACTGTACGCTTTCATTGTATAAATGCCCTCATTAGGTGCACACACTGTTAGTGTAGGATTTGTTAAATCCACTATATATAAAACATTACCACAGTAGTTATATTAAAAATGTATTCCTATTTATATATTGGATCTGCTTTAAGACTTTTAATTACAACAACTAAATGCTATGCTTTTTTTAAAACAAGGAACAGGAAGCGCAGGAAACCAGGCGATCTTGAGTAACGGGGCACTTAAGTTTCCAGCATAATAAATAATTCATAGGTCCTGTGTGATGAGTTGCTAAGGACAGAAATCCCTAATGACAGCTTTTTATAACCTATGACTCAGCTGGCCATTA